TTGATTCCCTCGTAGATTTTGTGTAGGATATGGGCAACCATGTTTTCCTTGACGCATTTGTGGAGAGGAATGGAGAACCCTCGCATGTAAAGCTTATTGTCGACCAGGACATAGGAACAAGCTCGGTGCCTGATCACGCTAGCCTCCTTTGGGTCGGATGGTAGTTCATCCTTGGCATGGTAGTTGTAGACGGGGGTCATCTAGCAGTCGCTGTCGCTAATGACATTTACGTCGAGGGTTGGGGAAGTTCTTTCATTGCTTGGTCGAGAAAGTATCTCCTGGATGACGGATTTGTTCTCTCCTTTATTTTTTGTGCTTGCTAGCTTTAACAGGACATCTGCCCGAACATTGTGTTCGGAGGAACGTATTTTACTTCCATGGACGTAAACTTCGTCATATTTTCTTTGACCAAGGTCAAGTATTCAGAGAGACTATCGTTCTTGGCTTGATACTCTTCCTCGTTTTCTAAGATGACGCCTGCCTTGCTCCCCATCGAGTTGGACGCTCCGTTAACAAAGATTGTCCACTTGCGAGCTGCGCAAGTCGGGGAGGCAAGCAAGATTATCTCTGCCACAAAGTCGAACAACACCTGGGCTTTGAGGGCTTTTCTGCTCTCGTACTTGATGTTGAAATTGAACAGCTCCAACAACCATTTAAGCATCCTGCCGACTATGTCTGGGCGGTCCAACAGTTGCCTCACGGGCTGGTCAGTGTGCACCACGAAGGTGTGGACTAGAAAATAGTGCCTCAGCCTTCTTGCTGCGTTGATGAGAGCCAGGGCTACTTTTTTTATCTGTTGATATCTAAGTTCTGGCCCTTGCAGCGCCTTGCTCGTGAAGTATATGGGCTTCTACCCTTCCGGGGTTTCAGGAATGAGGGTTGCGCTGACAGCTTTGGTTGCAACAGCGAGATAGAGATAAAGGTTCTCCCTGTTATCTAGTCGGGAGAGGACTGGAGGTTCCGACATTGCTTGCTTTTGGTGGAGGAGGGCGTTGTCGCATTCCTCCGTCCACTCAAAACCCGCCTCTTTGTGGAGGAGTTTGAAAAAGAGAAGTGCGTGTTGAGAAGACTTTTCCACGAAGCGGGACAATGAGGTGAGCATCCCATTTAGAGATTGGATGAATTTTTTGAACTCAGCATGGAGAATTCAGAGAAGGCTCTGCATTTTTCAGGGTTGGCTTTGATTCCTCTTTCTATCAAGTAGAAATCAAGGAAATTTTCTGCCCATACCCCGAACGTGCACTTCTCCAAATTGAAGCACATCATGTACTTCCTGGCCTGGTCGAAGACCTTCTTTAGCTGAAGCGTATGGTCGAATTCATCATGGGATTTCACGATCATGTCATCCATGTAGACCTCGAGCATATCCCAGATCACTCCCCAAAAGACTTTGTTCATCATCCTCTGGTAGGTAGCGCCAGCGTTTTCAAACTGAAGGGCATTATATTATAGTAATAGCTTCCCGATTCGGTCATGAAAGTTGTATATCTTTTATCGCTTTTGGCCATGGGTATTTGGTTGTAGCCCGAATATGCATCCATGAAAGACAATAATTTAAAATCGACAGAATTATCAACTAATTTGTCTATGTTGAGGAGGGGATAAGCGTCTTTAGGGCATACCCTATTAAGATCAGTATAGTCAACACACATATGCCACTTTCTATTAGATTTCTTTACAAGTACAATGTTGAATAGCCAAGTAGTGTACTTGGCTTCCGAAATAAAATTTTCCTCCAGGAGGTCTTTCACAGCTTGCTCGGCAGCCTCCGTTTTTTCCGGGGACTGCTTGCGCCTATGCTGGGCTACTGCCCTTATAGTGGGGTCGATTGTAAGCTAGTGGCAGACCACCTCTGGATCCAGCTCGAGCATCATTGAAGTGCTCCACGCGAACAGGTCAGCATTCTCCCTGAGGCATGCCTTCAGCTATTTCACTCCCTTGTGGGGTTCTTCACTGACGAGGACTAGCTCAAATTCACCATCCGGGATTGGCCGCAAAGGATGGGTAGGCTCGCCGCTGTTTATTGATGTGGAGGCGATGCTCGAGTTTGACCGAGTCCCCTTCTTCTCTGGTCCCGCAGGTCTTGTTTGGAGAAACGACTATCGAGGTTGATGGAGTCGACGCGAGGCATTGGTCTTGCCTCGTTAGAGCTGCAGGGTAGAGCAGGCTTGCTGGACATCTTTGGTCGAGTGGTGATGGTGCTCAGCCCTTTTGAGGCTACCTCCAAGCACTTTCTCGCGGCCTCTATGTCTCTGTGTAGGGTGGCGACGAGCCCTTTGGAAGTGTAATACTTCATATTCAAGTGCACTGTATATGGAACATCTATTAATTCGGCCAGCATTAGTTGTCCGAAGATCCATTAGTAGAGGGATGGGCAATCGATTACCAGAAATTGGACCTTGATGGATCTGGCCGTCTCCACTGCCCCAAAGGTGACAATCAGCTTCATGTATCCCCAATGCTGCATGACTGAACCGTTGAAGCCTTGTAGGTCTGAGGCTACATAGGGTGTCAGGTGCGTCTCGTCCAGCTGAAGTGTGAAGAACAATTGGGAATACATAATGTCGACCAAACTTACCTGGTTGACCAGAATTCGCCGAACATCGAAGTTGGCCATCTTCACCCTTATGAACAAGGGAATACTGGAGTTGAGGACTCCGTCGAGGAGTTCCTCGCGATAGAAGGTGATGGGGACTGAATCTCCCCGAACCCTGTCGAGGGTAGAACTTTGGCTTGAGCTTGTGTTGATGAGGTGCTCGAACTTTCTCTTCACTGACCCCACAGTCACCTTGTTGAACCCTCCTCCCGATATGACCATGGTGGAGGGGAAGGTTTCCCAGGGGTTGTGTGTGGCAAAGTAAAGAGGAACTTTGAGCCCATTGGGGACATAGAAATCTTTTGGTCGTGAGATGCTCATGGCGACCTGAAGGTAAACGTCGTCCGCGGATGACATTTCTTCTTTGATCTTCTTTGACTCCTGGGCGTCTTATCGAGGAGCGTCTTTCCTCTTCGCAAACTGCTTCAGGTGTCCTTCTTTAATCAAGATTTCAATCGCATCCTTGAGGTGGATAGAGTCATCAGTCGTGTGCCCAAAGCTCTTGTGGAACCGACAGTACTCTGTTTTATCTGTGTTTGACTTGGCAGGTATCTGCTTTGAGAAATGGACCCTTGCGTACTCGAACTCCAAATTCGCGCACTCCGAGAAAATCTTCTCACGCGACGTGGTCAGCAGCGTGTACTCGTGGGAACGGCTAGATGGCCCTTATTTTCTAGATCACTTGTTATGAGTACCTTCTTGATTTTCTAGATGGCCCTTAAGAGAGTTTTATCATATGTCATTTGGTTTGTACAGCCACTAACAATCAACTAACATTATAAACTACTTTTAGTTTAAAAAACACATTGCTATAAAAAATATGATCTTCTCATCTTGATCTATAACATGGGAGTTTGATAACCATGAAACGTATCACGTTTCTAACTCGATACACATGTCATTTTAGTTCATTTTATATTCTTTTTGTAGTGTTATGCTGGTAGTTTGTCTTTGTTTGAGGTGTTTTCCGAGTAGGAGTCAGTGCATGAGAAAACGAAGAAAAAAAATAGCCAAAAACAAAAAAAGAAGTGGAGAAAGTGAACTGGTGGCATCCGCCATGTCATGGCACCCATGGGGTGCCACCCACGTTGAAGAGCAAGCAAAAATAAAGTCTGAAGTTTGTGGCGTTCACCACAGGGATATGGCGTTCACCACGACCCCTCCACCAACCACATCCACCACTTAGTACTCATGGCGTTCGCCATGGGCTTCGTGACTAGAAAAGTAGCAATAGAATTGCCCATTCTTCTCCCACTTCAACATTATTTTGTCACACGACCCCTACACGACTTGACTTACTTTTCAACAGCTATATTTTCTAGATTTTCCATATCCAAGTCTTTATAATTCACTTAGGTAGAGAAAAATACTTATTGAGAAACACTTACTTGCTCATATTGAGTGATAAGTGTACCCCAGAGTTAGGATTTTGAAGAATTGTTGATGTCACTTTGATCGTTTGTTTATAATCGTGCCGCCATATGAATTCCAGAATTTTATTTATAAGTTTTTTTGTTTCCAATTCTGCAATTGTCTTATTTATGATATGTATTTTTTTTTTACTATTTTAATTCTGCACTTTATTATTTCGGTCTTTAATATTATAATTGTTAATCTTCATTGTTGTAGTCATTTTGTTGCTACTGTTTTTAATCACAAATATCATATACATTATTGTTGGATTGGTTACTAATATCATTTACATATATCAATTAAAATCAACACGTATTGTTGGATTGGTTACTAATATCATCTACTAATAACTGAGATGAAACGTTAAAATTCAGTTATCATTTCATTATGCAGCATTACACTTAAGAGTGTTTTGAATTCAAAAGCAAAACATTACTATTGTTCAAAAAGAAAAGAAAAAAATAGTAACGTGGACTAACAATCTACTTGTTCTTAAAGTTTAGAAGGCATTTATTTACTAAATCCAACAAAATAAAAATAATAAATAATAAAAATAATAAAAATAATAAAATAGCTAGTTCTAAAATTTAGGAGCCAATTATTAACAAACTCCAACAAAATAGAAACAAATATTAAATAATAAAACAACCTGTCCTAAAATAAATGATTAACAAGATATGCAAAAGAGAATATTAAGGAAACTCAATTAATCATGTCTTGGCAACAAAATATGCGGATGTTAGTGAAATTGGGATGGTGAGTTGAAACATTTGTCGACCTGTGATTGAAACTGACTTCAAATCGGCAACAAAATAGAGTGAAACAGAATAGAAACTTCAAAAACACTAATCAATTGAAAATTTAAAACAAGAATTGTCTACAACACCTATCAAATAATAAAGAATATTGTTCTGTCTCTGAACAATAACATCAAGATAGATGTTTTAGAAATAATGAAAAATCCTAAAACTTGAATATTAAACAAATAATA